GCCTGCACAGCCCTTCTCTTGTGTGGTGACGTCGGCGATCACTCCCAGCCGGCATACAACCTACGCAGCAGGACTCCTCGTCGTCCCACCTCTCAGCCTCTCAACCGCGCTACCCGACGGGCGATAAAAGGATGGGCAAGCTCAAACCTCCCAGCAAGGTCAGTGCCTCTATCCCCCGGAGCGATCACCAACACAGGGTCCGAGTTCCAGGCCTGATCTGCAGGAAGTATCTATGCCTAGGCCAGATGCAGACAGCCAACCAGAGCGCCAGGATAAAGTAGCAGCAGGTGCGCAGTCTTTATCCGGGGTGCTTGCCCAGCTTGAACGTACTTCTGCACAGCTGCAGCGTGCGTTATCCCGCATTGCAGAGTTGGAAGCCGAAGTTGGCTCCAACCAACCCACCCAAGCATCACAACCAAGAGTACTCGAACAAGGTGGTGCCTTGTCCATGGGTGTTTCCGAACCGTTGCGCCCTGCCCTGGTCAACACTGAAGTACATAGCACACCTCTGCAGCAGACCTCTCAACTGCCTCCAGTTGCCAGAGCTCCTACATCTGGTATGTTGTCAGCACCACCTCTTCTGCAGCCCCTAACTCACAACTACCCGGCTGCTGGTGTTTCTGCTCCTCCCTCCTTCCCTAGTGGCCGTGACGAAATACCAGTGTTTTATGGGGAGACTCCTGCGTCCCTTGGCCTGCAGAGCAATCAAGAGATCGAGTCATGGATTGCCAGCATCGAGCTCCTGACTCGCCCTGCCATTGATGACGCATTCATTCGCATGGCCAGGGTCAGGTCACGGGGATACGCCCAAATGGTACTCTTAGGACCGCTGTTTGAGGGAGTGACACAGTGGCACGAGTTCAAGGCCAGACTGCGGGCAAAGTTCAGAGGTGCCAGTACGTCCCATCATTTTTTCGAAATGCTGGCTCAGGCCCGTATGGTACCCGGCCAGGCGCCCTTGGACTTCTATCAGGTTGTCGAAATGGCCGTAATGCAGGGAGCCCGTGACTATCCTCATGACATCGAGGATATGGAGGCTGGTTGCGACGACAGTTGGTACTTTTGGACTTCCCAACAACTAGAAGGATGGCTGAAAAGTGCCAAGCAGCCTGGGATACGACAGTGGGAGTGAAACACGTCCTGCCGTCCATCTTCAGCTATCCACGGGCTGGGCACTCCCTGTACTCAGGGCCCTCTAGTGCAACACAAAGTGCACCCATGGCTTTGGGCCTGCATGCTCCCGGTCGCCTCACTGCCGAAGATGTGCCAGCCTTGGAGTATTACAGTGATGGCCCTCTCCAAGTGGCTCCAGTCCTAGGGACACCTGCGTCCAACCTGACCAACTCGACTCGGTCTGTGCTCCAGCAGGTACGCCCCCAGAAACAACCCACGGCCCTGCCTCAGCCATTGTCCTCACCTCGCCGTCGCAGTAGCCCTCGCAGTAGCCTTCGCAATCGTCGTTGGTGCGAATACCATCGTGTGGAGAGCCACAACACTTCAGAGTGCCGTGCAAGCCAACGACGGTGTTTTGGCTGTGGAGAGCCAGGACACTTTGTCGCAATGTGTCCCTTTGGTCAGTGCCGTCCGGGGCAAGGGTCCCGGCCAACGGGCGGCCAAGGAACCCAAGGAACCCCTGGACAAGCATGTTCAGCAGAAGTCGGGGGGCAGGCCAATGATCACTCTGACCATCAACGGTAAGCCTCTCGCTTGTTTTGTCGACACAGGCTCTGAAATGACCATGGTAAAAGATACAGTTGCTGCACTACTCCCAGGAATCCGCATGCAAGACAGCTCAAGAACATTGCAGGGTGTTACAGGCTTGCCCAAGGCTGTGACTGCTGAAGCGGATCTCATTTTTACCATTCATCCAAGGTCAGACGTCATTCACCGAACCTGTGTTGTCAATGGCCTCAATTTCCCCGGTGATCTGCTTGGAATGGACCTGCTCCAGCGACTCTCTTTCCGTTTGTGCTTCAGTGCTGAGCCCCTTGGTAACTATGTGGAGCTCAGTGGCCACCGTTGTGATGTTCGCTTTACAAGGCTGGAATCATCTGCCCCACTACACACTCCTGCATGCCATGAAATACAGGAGAGTCGAACAGAAGCCTCTACTTTTCAGCCATCTAGGTGCATCTCCCCTGTGCATGTAGCAGAAAGCGCTGTTGTGGAACCCCGATCTGGACGATTTCTGTCTGCCACTGTATCTCGCTTTGTCCCTACCAACGCCCACCTCGCTCTCGTTGAAGGTAGCACCAGTCGCCTAACAGTACCACGTACCCTTGTCGCCGTTCACGATCGGCGATCCAGTGTATGGGTAGTGAACCCATACCCCAAGCCCAGGAAGGTGAGTCCTGGCACCGTCATTGGGTATGCAGAGTTCCTGGAACCAGACGACATAACACCTGTTGGAGGGGATGTAGCAGTCCTCAACACCACACCTTCAAGTGTCAATGCTGAAGTCCATACCTCACCCGATCCTGATCCTGGGTTAAGGCAAAACCCATCATCTACCTTAGATGTTGACCCTCTAGGTGATAATGACAGTCCATCTGAGGGCGAGTTCCTAGACGATGAGTTTGACAGCTTTGATGCTTGCCTTGATTTCGGGTACCAGGACAGTGAATTCTTTGTGTTCCCAGACACACCAGCTTTGGATAAGGCAGGATACATCTAGAGTGGCTTCTGCAGGAGGAGATCCTGTTAGTAACCAACCAGATTGGACCCAGTTGCCGCTCGACCACCTCACTACTGACCAGGTAGCTCAGCTGACCACTATGCTGAACAACTTTCCAGGCCTCTTCTCTGGGGACAAGTTCACAGTTGGAGCCGTACCTGGGGTGCAGCACCGTATAGAGACGACAACCAGTGACCCTGTCTGTGTAGGGCAATGGAGACTTCCCCAAGTCACAAAAGAAGTCATCAGGGCAGAATGTGACCAAATGCTGGCCCAGGGGGTGATTGAACATTCATCATCTCCTTGGTTATCCCCTGTAGTCCTCGTCCACAAGAGGGATGACTCGCACCGTTTCTGTGTTGACTACAGGGCAGTCAACAAGGTGACCACCCCTGACACCTATCCACTCCCTCGAGTCGAACACATCCTGGACTCATTATCTGGCCGGATGTGGTTCACAGTCCTGGATAGTAGATCGGCATATTGGGCGATCTCAGTCCACCCTGATGACCGTCCCAAGACCGCCTTCACGGATGGTAACAGATTGTTCCAGTTCTGCCGCCTACCCTTTGGACTATCCACTGCACCCACAACATTCCAGCGGACCATGAACATCGTGCTTGCTTCAGTGTTAGGGCGCCACACTCTTGCCTACCTTGATGATGTGGTCATAGCGTCATCATCCTTTGATGGCCACCTATAGGACTTGCAAGAGACACTGGGGCTTTTAGAAGGAGCAGGGATGAAGCTGAATCTTGAGAAATGTGAGTTCGCTAAGCATCAGGTGAAGCTTCTCGGCTTTGTGATCGGTAGGGATGGTATACGTCCTAATCCAGAGAAAGTGGCAGCCATCGCAGCTATGAGGAGGCCAAGATCTGTTCGGGACATACGACGATTCCTTTGGGCATGTGGCTTTTTCAGGCGTCACATTGAAGGCTTTGCCACCATCGCCCGACCCTTGACAAGACTAACGAAGAAAGGTGTAAAGTTTGAGTGGGGAGAAACACCACAGACGGCATTTGACACCTTGAAGAAGGCCTTAGTGAGGGCCCCTATTTTACGTCTCCCAGACTTCAGCCAGCCCTTTGAGGTTCATTCAGATGCTAGTCTCCAGGCCCTTGGAGCTGCCCTCCTCCAACGAGATGCTGAAGGGGTGCCCTATGCCATTGCCTACTGGTCACGGGTGCTAAAGGAGGCTGAGACACGTTATCCAACGATAGACCTGGAGGCCCTTGCTGTCGTGGAAGCTGTCCGTGTGTTTGATCCGTACATCTATGGTCGGCATTTTACTATATGGACAGATCACCAGCCTCTAACCCATGTCTTCTCACGCCGAACAAAGAGCAACAGGCTGAGTCGTTATGCACATGAGCTCAGGGAATACGACTTTGCTCTGCGGTACAAGCAGGGGGCCAGTAACCTCGTCCCTGACCTTCTCTCGAGACCGGCAGGTGAACCGATCCCACATATGGAAATCTGTCCAGTTGAGCATCCTGATCCCGAGCCAGAACCTGAGCCTCCAGACCAGCTTGAATATCATGATCCTGAGCCAGAACCTGAGCCTTCAGCTCATGATCCTGAGCCAGAACCTGAGCCTCCAGACAGAACATCATGATCCTGAGCCAGAACCTGAGCCTCCAGACCAGCCTGAACATAATGATCCTGAGCCAGAACCGCAGCCTCCCGACCAGCCTGAGGATGACCCTCACCACCATGGACCCTAGAAAAATGAGGGAGCAACAAATACAAGATCCAACTTGCAACGACCTCATCAGCTGGCTGGAGGGACACCAAGCCTTACCTCAACAGCGTCCACCTGCAATCATCTCCAGCTTCGAAGTAGAAGATGGAGTCTTGTATCACCTAAGAGAGTATTCTGATAGAGTAGTGAAGCAGCTGTATGTTCCTCTGCATCTCCAGACACAGGCTTTGCATCTTGCCCACTGTCCACCTTCTGCCACACATCCAGGAGCCTTGCAGACATACCAGAATCTGTGCAATTCCTGGTATTTCCCTAACATGCTTCGCCAGTCGAGGGAGTATGTAGCTAGATGTCCAGTGTGTCAACGCCGGAAGGGTTCTGCTGTTCGTGTTCCCATGCAAGTCCATCCACCACCAGAGGCCCCTCTAATGATGGTTTCAGCAGACCTCATGGATCTGAGAAGTTCCTCCAGAGGCTACCCGTATGTTTTATCCATTATCGATCACCACACCCGCTTCTTGCAGCTGGTCCCTCTTTGTGACAAGACAGCTGAAAGAGTTTTGTCAGCCTTCATGGATAACTACATAACTTTATTTGGCCCTCCAGACCAGTTGCATACTGATAATGGCCTTGAATTTTCATCAAATGAATGGTGCTCTCTTCGCTCTACATGTGAAACACTTGTTCTCTGTGGCCTACCACCCCCAGTCCAATGGAGTGGTAGAGCGTAGCAACAGAGCTGTGAAAGATGCACTGGCAGCACTGGTTCAGCGTGCACCATCTCAGTGGCCCATACATCTGCCTGCTGTCCGCCTTGCCCTAAATACGGCTATTCACCGCTCTGTTGGAGACCAACCTCTCTACCTACTGACAGGCAGAATGGCTCTGTTTGCCAAGGGGCTTACAAACGACCAGACTCCAGACGAGGGACTCATGGTGAAGCGCTTGTCAGATGCACGTCGTCTGGCTGTCGAAGTAAGCCTGAAGACACGTGAAACCAACAAGGCTTATTACGACCAAAGAGCAAAGGCCACTCCAACTTTTGAACAAGGTTCTCTTGTGGTTCGGAAAGTCGAAGGTACCAGAAGGCCTCTGGGTGATCGTTGGTTGGGACCATGTCGTATTGTGAGACAGCTGGGACTTGTGACATTTGATGTGCTCGACCTTCAAGAACCCTACCGTGCCGTCAGGGTGCATGCCAACCAGCTGAAACCCTACCTTCCACCCTCTGAGCTGGACTTTGCAGAAGAGGCGAACCAGCTTCCTCGACCCGTACCAGTCGTGGCCAGTTCATCTGTTGTGACACTTATCGACGAGTTAACCAGTGAAAGTACTGTCTAGTGATCGTTGTCTGTGATACAGTGCCTTCTAGTGATCGAGTCTGTGATACAGTGCCATCTAGTGATCGAGTCAGTGATACAGTTTCTACTGATCGAGTCAGTGATACAGTTTCTAGTGATTGAGTCAGTGATAGTTTCTAGTGATCGAGTCAGTGTTACAGTGCCTTCTAGTGATCGAGTCAGTTATACAGTTTCTAGTGATCGAGTCAGTGATACAGATCTCTTACAGGGCTTTCTAGTGATCGTGTCCATGAAGCAGTGACGTCTAGTGATCGTGTCAGTGATATCGCGCTCTAGTAATAGTATTAGTGATCGGGTGTTTCCAGTGAATGAACTTAGCAATATATTTGCGTGTGTGTGTGTGTGTGTGCAAGCGTCTCGAGGTCGTGTGGTAAGCAATGCTCCCTGTGAGGTGCATCAAGCTTTTATGTAATCTTTTGATATCTTTTATTTCTTTTAATATCTCTTTATACCCTCTACCCTGGGGGAGGGATTGTAGTGGACCCTGAGGCCCATTTAGTTTTTATTTTATTAAATTATACCTCGCTAGTAGCAATGCTTACTACTTTTCTTTTCTTTTTTTTTTTTTGTCTTGTTTTACCCCATTTTAAACGATTGCTGTGAACCATAAATAAGCAGTAAACCGCCAGCAGCTCAGGGGGAGGGGTGGTTTCCGCCTACGTTTTTGGCGGGTTTTCGGCAGTTCACCCTGACCCTCGGAGCTGGCTGGATCTGTGTCTTGTGTATGTTTTGTAATTACTATTTGTGAAGCTTTGTGCATCGCGCCCAGTGTTTTTTTTTTTTTTTATAATAAACTCTTTTAATGTGAAGATCCTTTTTTTCTCATTTATATTATATGTGCAAAGCGCTCAAGATGCAAACTTCCTCGGAAACCAGCCAGCCCCACCACGAGTGTCAGAGTGGGCTCGCGAACCACCGCAGAGGGTGTTCGCTACAATATATAATATATTATATTATATATATGTATGTATAGATAGATATAGATATAGATATAGAGGAGTATAAGACACCGAGACGAAGACCGATAGA